CGAAATGCGGATGAGAATAGAGAGAGAGAGAAGAGCAAGAGCTGCTGAAGCTAGATTGGGTATAAACAATTGTGCAATGTGTAAGAAGTCCCTTTCCGGGTTGGTTCCATTTGAGAAAATGGATCTCAAGTTTTGTAGCACCTCTTGTGTTAGGAACCATAGAGAATTACAGGAATAACGACATATTTTAGACATAGACTATGCACACACAGTACAATGGGATGTTCCTTTTATTTATTTATTTTTTATTATTATTATCGATTATATTATAAATGAATTTATCAAAACAGTACAGTACAGTGTGAACAATATCAAAAAATATAAACGAGTAATTACATATTACAATTTTAGAGTATACAGTTGATATTTTACTGTAGACGATAAAAAAGGCAATAATAAGCATTATGGCGTAGGTTTAATTTTAACATGTAGTTTATATGTAAGGGTTTTAATAATGTCAAAGTTTTTAATTAAAACTGCAACATAATGCTTATACTTCAAAATATTTTTTCGATTATTTTGATCATTTTGTTATTTTTTTTAATTTCATTATTTTAAACACATTTGTTTATACACAATATATCAATAAATTACATGAATGATTTTAGATACATTATTTAATAAAGTTGATTATGTAATTAATATACTAATAAAATAAATAAAAAAATACAATATTAAAATCTTTTTTAAAAATGTGTTTTAAAAATATTAGAAAAATATACAGTATTTATAAATTTTATGATTTAAATAATTAATCATTAAATTACAATTGAATATTAAAATTTACTATTATTGTAAATATAATTTTTATTATTAAAGAAAAAAATTATATATATATTGTTTTTTTTTATTATATTTTTAAATAAGATAAAAAAAATCTCATAAAATATTTATTTGATTAATCACAAAAAAAATATAATATTATTAATTAATCAATTAAATTATTATTTTTTATATTTTTTTATATTAATTAATTAAAATTATATAAATAATATAATAATTTTTAATATTAAGGATTCAAGAATTATATATAATTTTTAAACTTGATAATAAAAGTTTTTTTATTGTATATAAAAATATTTTGCTTTAGTATAATAATTTTATTATATTATATTTTCTTATTTTTTATAAAATATTTTTATTTGATTTTTTTTTCTAAAAAAGTTTATTTATATAATTAAAAGTATTTATTAATATATTTTTTGTTAAAAAATTAATATATATATACAAATATTTATTTATATTATTTATTTTATATATTTATTTAAAATTTTTATTATTTTTTATTTAGAAAAAAATAGATAACAAATAAAATTATTAAAATGATTAAATATGAAATAATAAATTCATATTTTGATTTTAAAATAAAATCTCCTTCAATTAAATCTTAAAAAACTTTTATATTAAAATGAAAAAAAAATTTTTTATAATTAATTTATTCTAAACTATTATTAAAATGTAAGATAACATTTTTCAATTAATTTATAAAATTTTTTGAGTAAATTCTTGATCGACCACAGCCGCACCGTCTTGTCATCGCTGCACGATGCCATTTGCGTGCCATCAGGTGAGGTCACACTCCTGACCTTATCAATTTCTCAAATTAAAAAATTATTAGATAGAAAAAAAATAATACAGAATTGTCAATCCAAATAACTTATTATTTTCTATAAAAAAAATCAGTTCGGTACATTCCGATTTAATTTTTGCTTATTTATTTGTTTGTTTTAGTTAATATTATTTATTTATTAAGCATGCATTATATAATTCATACAAGTACAAATACTTGAATAATTAACCAAAACCAATGATTTTTTTTCTCCAATAGAATCAATTGATCAGTGAAACTTGATGATCTGATCTGAAGTCAGTAAACCAAGAACTCTCCGTGAATTATGCAAGCCGTCGAGTCCAGTCATCATTTCTTTAGTTTTGGAAAGTCGAACATACAGAATACAATCCAAAATATATTAAATAGTGAATGAAATATCAAACAAAGAAATATTTGTGACCCCAAAATACATGCAAATAAGAAACCAAGGTCTCCGATAAGTCAAAGTAGAGACTTGCGATTCGAAAAAAAGGGTCATTTTTGATCTACAAGGACAAAGACAAAAAGTTCAGTCAATTCAGTTTTTATTGAAGTATGCGTGTTTAACTCACGGACAATGGTTTTGTCTTTGCATGAATAAGAACAAAAAAAAGTACCCACGGCTAATTTATTCTTTTTTAATGAGGCGTGGTAAACGTGGAAATAATATGTAGGCAAGTATTATAATACAGATTATTGCATTTATAGGAAACTCTATGATAATTTTATTCATGGGCTTCTTTGATCGGTATTGGACAGTTTAGCCCTCTGAATTTTTTCACGTTTTGTTTATACCTTCATACACACATACATGGTCCTTTAACCCATCTCATTCCTTTAAGTTACAATTGGTGTCCAATTTTTCTTAATTTACAATCGATATGAAATTTCCCTAGTTAAAATTGGTATAAAAGCCCTTTCTTTTTACCATTGACCGTTCTACAATGGCACAACAGTCTCACCTTTGGTTTCTTAACAATATCAACCTCCAACACGTCTTTCCTCCGATCATTAATGATGCCAACGTAATTTTGAACCGATGCAAATTTGATTGCAAAAAAAAGAATATGAATGCTCGTGTTATTTGTAATATCAATGTGAAAGAAGAGGCGATCAGATTAAACGTAAACGACGACAATGTTATCCTTAAGGTGCGGGAGATCGTTTGGAGATCCTCGAGTCCTCTTGACAAACAGATGTGTAAGGAAGTGTCAGACGCGGTGATTTCCCTAATTCGGGATAGATTTCCTGGGAGAGAATAAAACTGGTAATGACCTTTCTATGCTTCCTTGGGACCTAGGTGCAGCCGTATGTCAATATCCCTGTAGAATACTTGCCGATCAACCAATCAATATACAGTATGCGAATGAGAATTAGTATTGTATATATTTATTGGCATAAAGATAAGAAACATTAAAATATCCATTACAATGAGGGTAATTGACAAATGCATTCCTTGTTCAGGCTGTTATAGTTTATGCATGTTACCTTATTTATCAACATTGTTTTATTCATATTATGTCTTTATGCCATCTAAGATTGTAAGAGAATTTACTGTATATATTGTGCCCCGCACAAATCAATCAATCCATGTCATTTCTTTCTTCTTTCTTTCTTTCATTCATGTATAACGTCCAATTTCTGTAAAATTGACATCCTAGTACTGTACTTAGATTGCATAA